ACAACACTGGCCTAGATTGTTTTCAAATGGGTCAAGTGTTTGTCATAAAAGCACCACTGAAACTGAAAATTATTTCCTTGTCTCAACCATCTCTCACTCAACCAGCTTGTGGTGGCGTTCACAGAAACGTCTCTCACATGGATTTCAAGCTAGAGTGAAGTTAAAAACAGCATACACTTCCCCATCTATATCTGCATTAGCAATGCAAAACCGGTCGATAGTTTCCAGAAAATTTCAGCCAACATCAAGTCACAGCATGTCTTGTGAATCACTGCCTGCGCACAGACCTTGCGATGAAGCCAGGAACGCTTGGGGAGGTGGAGGAGCAAACAAAGCAAGTTTCCATCTCCTTCCTTACAGGGGCCACAAGTCAAAATGATTACTTTAAAAAATTAGCATTATTTTCCTTGCGGTATGTGTTTTGGCTGAAAGGTCAGTGAAGTAACTCTTCTGCAGCAAGTCATCCTTCCAGGGACTAGACTAGATGGAGAATGAGACTCTTTTCCTAACCATCTCTTTCATAAAGAAATATTATGGGCATGGCTCCACCGTCCTATGTAAGTTGACTGTTTCCCATTTTAACCCCACCAACTGCAAGAGGACCGTTTCAGGATGATGAAGGGAAAAGAGAAGGAGAGAGAGAAAAGAAAAAAGAAAGACAGAGACAGCTCTTGCAATGGAGGTGACATTGGAAGAAAACCCTTTCTATTCATTCATGTCCATATCGTTCAGAAATGGTCAGCAAAGATGACCATTTTGTTCTTCAACTTCTCTGAAGCAATGTCCCCCACCCAAGGTATGGAAACCAAAAATTTAAACGCTTTCCTAAAGACTAGCCCTCAAGAGAACAGTCTTATTTTGACTCACTTTTGCAGTAGTATGTCAGGGGAAACGCCAGTACTTACTAAAACTCTACTCATCTGTTCAAACCAAGTCAGATGTTGTGTTTTCTCCCACCAACCTCCGTGTAAAAACACACAGACTTTGCTGATATCCCACTCCTCCCAAAGAATTCCAATTCCAAAGAAACTCAGTACTGTCTAAAATTCACCCCCTTTCCCCCCACTCCACCTTTTGGATCGTAACTTCAGGTCAGAATCTTTGTGATAGGAGCAGCATATAGACTGGAATAAGTAAATGTAACCCCTGATGGTCTTTCCTCTTGAAAGGCAGGGATTGACTCATACAGGCATGTTCCGTAGGTGGTTATGGCAGCCTCAGGAGACAGCATGAACAAGCTAGAGCAACAATTCACTGAGGCTCCATTACTCCAAATGAAATGCTTTCAAATGCAGGCGATGCAACCGTGCACAGGTGCAAGTCAGCATGCATTGAGTAATCAAATGATGGATATCCCCGTGCCAATTAGCTCATTGTAGAGCCCAGAGATAGGAAAGTTAAGTGGCTAAATGCCACTTAGCATTCAATTTAGATTATTTGTAAGATTTGTTGCTGTTTGGGTGAAAATGCCTCCTTCCAAAGATCCTGGTGTGGAAAGAAAGAGTAAGGATTTAACAATATGCCAGAAAAGGACAATACCTCTTTGCCAGATTTCTCAATCTCTACCGTCACGGTGGTATGGTTCTTGTGTTCCTGGAACATGCAGAGATAACAGATGCAGACTTGGTCGGTCTGGCAGAAGAGCTCCATCGTCTTGCCATGTATGGGGCATTTTCTGGCTTCAAAGTCCTTGATGGGATCCAGAAGCTGGTGATCTCGAAAAGCAGCCCCTTCAAAGTGGGGCTTCAGGTGAAGCTCACAGAAGCTGGCTTGACACACCAGACAGGACTTCACAGCCTTCTGCTTGTTGTCGATGCAAGAGTCACAAAGGACCTCTTCCAGATTCACACGGGGTCTTCCACTAGATACCCTACTGACCTTGTTGTAGTTGGTCCTTTTGGTCTCTCCAGATTCCCCTAGGGAGATTATGGGTTTCCTTAGATCTGCAATCTGCCCACTGGAATACAGTGGCTTTTTCACTTCTGCTTCACTGCTGAAACTTTTCTTCATCTCCATGTTGAACAGGGGCTTCCTCAAATCTCCTCTCTCTGGAAAAGAGACCTGGGACCTCCGAGTTTCTCCTAGCTGCCCTGTAGGGAAATTTGACTTCTTGGCCTCTCCTGCCTCCACATTGAAGTAGGTTGCCCTCTTTTCATCAGAAGACTCAACGAATTGGATGATCGGCCTCTTCCAATCACCTCCAGAGTAGATGGAATTCTTGAGCTGAGCTGTCTCCAGGTTCGGGGCAATGTTGTTTTTATTGGCCTCTTTCTCACCTTTGTTTGGGCTGCTGGATTTCTTCCCTTCTTCTGTCTCCTTCTTGGGAGAAGAGGGGTTCTTTGCCTCCTCTTGCTTGCCCGTGGTCCCGTTGGATGTCCTAGCTGTTTCCATCCTGTGGCCCTTTTTCTCTCCGCGCTGGCTTTCTGGTTTCTTCCTCCGCAGCCAAGCTCTGTGCGGGACAGAATCAAATTGCAGCCTTAACTGGCCCTTTCTTTACAGAAACAGCCAAGTTCACAGGCCTCAATCCCAGCAAGGAATGAAAAAGGAAGACAGGAAAAGCATTACCTAAATGCCACACCTGGAAAATGGGGAGGAGAAGGGAAACACCTAGATTATACAGGGAGAGTCAGGGAGAGGAGAGGGAAAGAGATATTACAAAGGGCATCAAGGGATCCAGATTAATTATAGAAGGCGCTCCACACCCAAAAACATACCTGTCAAACCAGGTTGGGGAATGAAAGGCTGTTTATGTGTCACGCTTTCTTCTTCTCCCTTTTTTCTTCAAAAATTATTTTCATTAGGAGCCAGCCAGCAGGCCTGCTACCTGCTTCAAAAATAGCTACTTCTTGACAGCAGGAATGCATGAGCAGAATTAGCCAAAGAGGTGAAAATATCCAGAAGGCAAGTTTTATTAAGCGGGATGCATGAACATAAGCAATTTAGCTGGCGATTAAAATTCATGAAGAGAATAAGAAACCAGCTACTAAACATCAAGAATTAGAGAATGGCACCCTCAGCACCAGATGCCATCAGGGTTCTCTGTGACAACTGGAAATATAGTGGAAGTTGGTCATCCCAGACTTTGAAATGCTGCTTTGGGTATTATCTTTTGCAGACCTGCAACATTGCATCCATCTATTTTATTTCCGGAATATAATTGCAAACTCCCATGCAGTTTCTATTTAAATGAATGAGGACGGGCCAGAGATAAAGGTCCATGGTTAAAAAATATGTTTACTTCACGTTCACCGTGAATACCGGGCAGAATTCATGTTGTGGATACCAGTGATCAGAGAGGAACATCCTTCTCGCCTCCTTTATTTCCCCTGCCCTGACTTCATGCGTGACACGTACACATTACTCTTTTCCCTGCAAATAATACCCTCATTTATGCAAGCATCTACTTACCTTCCTAATGAGGCTTTTCAGTAAATAAGGATATTGTAGGTGTCCAGGTGTAATTGGCCATTAAGGTTTCCTCATGGGTGCACCACCCTCCCCCTCCAACTCCATTTCAGAAACACCAGCTACGCTCCAATTTTTGAAAAAAGTCCTGTTAACTTTTTTTTTTTAACAAACACTACTTATGACGTTAGATGTTGGACCTCTTGGGTTGCCCTATCTGCTGAGCTGGTTTCTTACGACAATAGCCTGCAGGAACGTAAGACGATGAAAGAATGTTCTCAGATTCTTGGGTGGAGTTCTGTGTTCTCAGATATACTGAGATAAATATGCAGGGGGGTGGCATTTCTTTTCTTCCCTCCCCCTATCCCCAAAGTCCAGATTAACACTTCAGGTGAGACTGTAGGGCTCCAAAACTAAGTTAGTTAATATTCCTTGGAAGACATCACTTTTGAGATCCCAAAGTTCTTCAGGAGAGGGGGTCAGTTTCTTTGTAATGTGACTTCTCAAGGGACTTTTGGCATGGTGGTAATATTTTAAAACATGTACACCTTAAAAGAACTTCGATATATTCAGTTTGTTCTTATTCAGGTGGCCTGAGGCTTCAATTAATCAGCAATAACTTAGTTTACCCATAATAAGCCAATACAGAAGATGCTTATTGACCTTACCTTGATTTTCCTAGTAAAAATGTAACTCTCCAGCAGTCTCCTGCTTCTTTCTGACTTTTTATCCTTGTCACATAAGTTATTGGTTCCTTCTTCTCCTAGGTTAGGTTAAACAAGGGGAATTGTGTTATGTGAAGACAACCAATGCTGGCTGGAAACTAGCAACATTCCAGCAGAAGAATGCTAGAGATTTGGAAGCCCAACTGGATCAATCTGCCCTACCCAGAAATGTTTTCCTTAGCCGTCAGGCCCCTTTCTTTAGGCCAAAAAGATATCTACACCATATAACTGTCCCTAAACTCTGGAAGGCAATAATCTTAACACACTTTAATGCACTCCCTACGGTGGTTCTTGAGGGCAGATACAAAGCAAGTCTGCATGAGCTAAGGCTGTGGCTTTGTGGAGAAAGGTCTATCAAAACCATAGTCCATGGCCTACTATATTGTATTTCGATAAGCCTGCAAGGGCCCATCTGATCCCTCTCCCTTCAACCAAGTACTCAGGCACTTCTGATATATTTTATGCACAGCTGTTATGATCAGAGCAGTATGATTCTGTTTCTATGAACTTGGCCAAATTCTGTTACACAATCTATAAAAACCAAACACTCCTTAACTGCATCAATGCTCTAGTTCCACACTGTTTTTATTTGGTTCCATCTGCTGTTGATTATTGTATTCTGGTCAGTAATAAGCACATGCATGGATGACGCAAAAGAACCCTATGAACTCAGTCTGATGATCAAAGAAATGGAGACAAACTCTCTTCTCCTTCACCATTCACAACTGGATAGTTGGAGAGAGCTTTGCTGCTTCTTCATCATGATACCCTTCAGCCCAAATCGATTGGCTGTGAGGGTATCAACGATCACGGTGTTACCTTCCTTCATCCCAGACTGGCTAGAATCAGACACTGCAAGAGGAAGAGGCGCTAATGTCGTGCAGAAGGAGCGATATCCTGAGGTTATGGAAAAGCCTGAAAATCTAGTCAGGGAGGGAAGAGCACAAGGGCTTTTCACATTCCCTTTTTTGCAATTGAAAATCAAACTCTCGTAACAATTCGCCATAGCCCTAAATAATCCCTCAGCCTTCGTGGATTTATGCAGTCCTTTAAATAAAGCAAATACTAGCCATGATCATGCAATCCCACAACCTGGGCGTGGGGGAAGTGGGGAGAATTCTGTATAGATCATGCTTAGTCTTCTAGCTCAATCAAGTATGCAAAACATCTACTTTTTCAAGGGCAGGTCCAGGAAGGAATTTCGGCTTCTCTTAACAATTGGCCAGAGCACTAGAGAGAAATGTCTTTTGTTGCATTTGTCTTTCCTGCACACATTGCTGAGAGCAGACGTTTGTCTACTGTGACCCTGTGGCTCATGCCTCAGCTGACGCTGTGATCCTCCTGTCATTGCCTTCCATTTGAGGCATGTCTAGACACTGTGGGGTGGAGGGAAGTGGTATGAATGATGGTGACAAAGTGCCGCAGCCAACACATCCTCGCTGTATGCTACGGAAGTTTCTGCATCCTCTCTTTAAAAAGTAGCAAGTATGGCAATCGCTGGGTTGCCATTTATCTTTGCTGGCAGTGGAAGCCAAGTCACGCCAGGCTGTGGGCCAGAAGAGATCCAGTTGATCTGATGGGTAGCCAGCTAACCCAGGGCTCCACTGCTCCTCTTTCAGTGAAAGGAGCATGTGTGACTTTTGTGTTAGGTTGCATTAGGGGGTAGGGGGTTGTGTTTCCTCAAATGCTGCTCCAATCAAGGTAGCCCCCTGCACCAGGTTTTCCCTAAAACTAAACCTAGCAGTCACTTTGTAAGCCTCTGTAGATTATCTGAGGAATCACGAGAGGAGTCAAACGGGTTTCAGACTAGCCAAATTGCTTTAGGGGAGGTTGGGGGTCCTATCGTCTAAAGAGTGTTCTTTGTGGCAGAAAAAGAAGGGCTTTTCCAACTCCCTTTATCCCCCAAATAGAAAAATATTTCTCAGCATCTTTTTTTTCAGCCAGGAACTATATCACAGTATCTGGGGAAGTACAAAATCAGTTCCACGAAGTCTAATCAGCCCATTATTTCAGGGCACTTTGACTGGAATGTTCAACGACTGGATTCTTCAAGGGTCCTTTGTTTGTTTTGTTTAAAAATAAAGACCCCAGAGAGTTTTGATCGCAAATTGCTACCATGGTTATCCATTCATCTTTCTTTACTGCTGGGTCTTGATGTTGCTTTAATTTTGCATACATTTGCCCCTCTCTTAGAAGAAATAAGGGTCCCTTGGGGATCCCTTGCATCTCCTTCCTTGAAAGAAGGGAGACATTTCAGTTATTACAGGTACGCAGCAATCCTTGCTGGAATTCTCCATGCGACCTACCCAGGCTGTAGGCTTTGTGAAAACGTTTCCCACAGACATGTTCTGCCAGTTCCACTTTCCCTTTATCTCACTTGTGACCTAGGCAAGAATTCAGCTTCTACCCAATTAGCTTTAACTGGAACTTCCCACAGGATTTTCTGAATGGACACCATTTTCTTCCTTCCTTCCTTCCTTCCTTCCTTCCTTCCTTCCTTTTTTTTTTTTTTTGGTCTTAATTTTTACTGAAGAAATGTTTTACAGAGCAAAAGCAATACTCGTTTAAAGAAAAAAAAGAAAAGTGAAGAAAATAAGTAAGAAAGAAAAGAGGAAGGAAAGAAAAAGGAAGAAAAGATATAAAGAAGGGGCTTCTGATCTTCTTGGCAGCAGTCCTTGCGATTCTATTTTATCCTCTCTCTATATAGTGATATCGTGGCTCCCTTCTTTCCATATTCTACCCTTTCTAATCATCAAACCCATAAATCAGAAGTTCATTTTTTTTCCATTTTCAGCAAAAAATCTATAAAGGTTTCCAGTCACTGACAAATGTAGCTGTTGTCTTCTCCCTGATCAAACAAGTCAGTTTTGCCATCTCTGCAAAAACCATTCCATTCCACAAATGGAAACCACTTTAAATGCCATGACATGAATGAATTAAATACTTTTCTCCTCCCTTTTGTGGGAACCCACACAGTGGGGGTTCCAAACCTTGCTTTATGGTGGACTGTGTGAACCCATAAGATTGTGGCTTATCGATTATCCCCAGTTAAACAAAACCTGGTGTAGGACAAAGTGTGGACACAGTCAGTGTCACGAGAACCTATCAAGGATCTCATTTTATCTTCCAGTCTATTTTAACCTGAGACAAGTTGGGAGATGATGTGTAAGAAATCCGGTTCCCTCATCCCCACCACTTCAGGCCTGAACTCTTCATCTGTAAAGAAATGCTTGTGAAGGAGACCCAAGTGTCATTATTTAT